CTCCAGACAGACGCAGGTTAAGATCCTCCCTGGTAAGCCAGCTCGTGGGCTACACAGAATATTAGAAATGGGTTAGAACAATATGTAAGAGCTAACCAATAAGAAACTGGAACTAGCCGGGCCAGGCAGTGTTTGAAAGAATACAGTTTCCGTGTAATTATTTCTGGGTATAAACTAGCCATGCGGGTGGCCGGGTGCCGGGGACGCAGCCCTGCCGCTCCTATTTCAACACAGCAAGTCCCAGTGTGGTATGTCATGACCACATATGACACCTCTTGACCCAGTGATCTGACAGTCTCTGCCTCCCAAGTGCTGGGATTAAAGGTGCATGCCACCACGATCCAGCTCAGAAGTGTGTATCTTAAATTGAACAAACTCAGCTATGTACCCATCCCAAACGCCTTCCCTATATGAATGTGTATAGACTTCCCAACTAAATTCCTTATCTTTGTTCATATTTGAACAAAGGATTCAAATATGATGATATGAAAGGATGATACAATCTGAGTTTGCTGAATGCAAAGCCAAATGTTCATAGTCAGTACACAAAAGAGTGAAAATCTGCACTGCCTCCAAGCAGGACAGGACCACACAGCTCTCAAAGATGATGTGCTCTCCCTGAACAAAGAGTTTTTTTCCCTAATTTGGAGAAGGCTGACTGGAAGAAAGGCACGATTGGTTAGTCCACAGTTGTGCGATCTGGCATCATACTTGCCTAGCCAGCCCATCAGGGATCCACAGGCAGGAGAAAAAAAGCCAACAAGGCCTTTGGTAGAAGCTGCCAGACTTTTGTCTCAGGTCAGGAGGGTCAAGCTGGCTATCTTGGAAGTTTGATCCCTTTATGGCCTACCTATGGTCCCTTTCCCTGTTTGTCTGTCTGTCTGTCTGTCTGTCTACGAGGGAGTCCATCTACCCTGTAGCCCCTCAGCATTCTAAGATACCACCTTTTTGAGACAGGGGCTCACTGTATAGCTCTGGCTGCCCTGGAACTCACTCTGCTGACTAGGCTGGCCTTGAACTCAGATATCAGCTGCCTCTGCCGTGCCTCCTGAGTGCAGCCCATCCAGCTTTAATCTTTACACACAAACTTTATGACTCTGAGCCAAGCATGCCTCCACTCCTCAACCCTGACCAAATGTATCTACCTTTTCTTTTTAAGTTTTATTTTGTGTGGATGGGTGTTTTGTCTGCCTGCATGTCTGTATATTACCTGTGTGCCTGGTGCTCAAGGAGGCCAGAAGAGGGTGCTGAATCTTCTGGAACAAGAGTCCGAGGTTGTGAGCCACCATTTAGGTTCTGGGAAATAAACCTGGATTCTCTGAAGAACAACTAGCCAGGCAGTGGTGGTGGTGCACACCTTTAATCCCAGCATTTAAGAAGCAGAGGCAGGCGGATGTCTAAGTTCAACACCAGTCTGGTCTACAGTGTGAGTTCTAGGACAGCCAGGGCTACACAGAAACCCTGTCTCAAAAGAAAACAAAAAGCAACAACAAAAACAAACAATAGGCAGTATTAACTGCTGAACCATCTCTTCAGCCCCTAGCCTTTTTTTTTTTTTTTAATAAAGAAAACAACCTTAGGGCAGGGTATGATGGACCACGCCTTTAATCTTGACATTCAGGAGGAAGAGACAGTGAGTCTGGGGCCTATAATCCCCTATATTTCCAGACCAGCCGTGGCTAATAAAAATATTTAAAATTTCTTTCTGTAGTTGTAGCTATGAGTAATATGTCCTGTGTTTTGCTTCTATAACCTCTCATGAGCTGAATACCCTCTCTTGGTAAAAAAACAAACCATTACAAAATAATTGTAATGTCATAGTTTCTGCTTGTGTACCATGCTCACTCATGGGCTTAGTCATGTAGGCTAAAATTCAAACCCCTTCACCTCATCCATTGTCTGTAGTCGCAGGTTAAACCCACCAGTAACAGAAAAGGTAGGAAATGATACTGGGCACACTATAAAGGTGAAGGTGCAATCTGGGTGAGACGCTCAGGGTGTTAGCTCCATTGTATCTATCAGTAGGCCTGCAGGCGTAATAAAGATGAATCCTCCACAGCATGAGACTGAAAGACCCATGCAACAGGGCTCACATGGAGGGGCTTTTTATTAGGGGAAAGGAAATGGGAAAGGGGGAAGGGGGAGACTGGCCTCTGATGACAGGAGTGGCAGAAGGGGGGGGGGGAGTCAGACACTCTGGGAGTGGGGGAGAAAGGGAGGGAGAGAGATGGGAGGTGGGCAAGGCCCATCTCTTAAAAGAAAACATAGTGAATGTGCACAGCAGGTGTTCTTAGCAGCTGCAGCAGAGGACGCAGCCTGTCAGGACCCCAAGGGCAGGCCAGTACAGATGCCTGAATACTAACACTCACCCTGTGGTTTGGTTTCAAAGGTCTGATAAGCAACAAATGGAAATGCTGTCTCTGAAAGAAAAAGGAGTAAGAAGGAGGAGAAGAAATAAAATTGAGCAAGACCAGGAGTGTACTTTTTTTTTTAATTTCTTTTGTTTATTTTATTGCTTATTTTTTAAAGGCCCACAGAAGTGATTGAAAATATCCAAGGGGTGAATTTCAAACAACACGAGACAGAGATTAAGCAGTAAATATTAAAAAAAAAACCTTTAGCTTACTTACTAAACTAGGGCGAATTCCCTGGAAACGAACTGTTGAGTTGGTCTACAATGCATTACTGAACGGAGGACATGTATTTCCCAGTAAATTTTAAACATGGAGTACGTAAGCAAAAACGCCTTCTCAGCATATGAAATTATTCAAGTCACAACCCCCTGAACAGACTATATAAATTTGTTTTCAACCTAAAGTTAGAAGTGCAAAATCGTTAAAAAATAAAAATATTTCTACTGCTCTCAGTAGTCGGATTGATAAATCCTACAAGTCTTTAAAGGCTTTTCAACGAAATAAACCATGAACTCTTGGCAAGCTCCTTGCTTATGCTCTCGGGAAACTGGGCTTCTCTTCCTGTGGGCGAGCTGCACTGTTCGCATGGCTCCATTCTGAAAAATCATGTTCAGACCGATGGAAGACCCAGCGGTGACCTGTGTCAATACGTCACCGCCTGCATAGCTACAAGTCTGCACCACAAGGTCCCTGGGCAGGTACCACCCTCAGCTGATAAGTAGGAAACAGGCTCAAGACAGGAAGCAGAGGTCAGACATTCCAGTTTACAGAAGCTAGTCTCCACAAAGCGCCAAGGGCTTTGAGACCACAAACAGGCAACACCTAAAAACTGAGGCCACTGGGTAACTTTAATGCCAGGGATTGATGTTGCGGGTTTAGGCTGCTTGCGTCACAAAGGAAGACACTTAGCTGCAGGAAGGTCTGCTGTCTGGGCTGCGTGGCTAGACATTTCCATCGCCTGGCTCACCCACGCTCCTCAGTGCCCACGCCTGATGCTCACATTGTTGCCCCAACCAGCATCTGAGCTGCTTCAGGTGTTTCCAAATCAAAGGAGGTCACACGAAGCCTAGAATTTTACGAAATTTGGGGCATTTTGTCTAGCATTACATTTAATAACGATTACTTCAAAGTTGATGTAGGAATAACGGGCTCAGTTACACCTTTCTCTATTCTTCAAGCTATTTTGTTGATTAGAAAAAACTAGTCGAGTCGGGCGGTGGTGGCACATGCCTTTAATCCCAGCACTCGGGAGGCAGAGGCAGCTGGATCTCTGTGAGTTCAAAGCCAGCCTGGTCTACAAGAGCTAGTTCCAGGACAGGCTCCAAAGCTCCAGAGAAACCCTGTCTCAAAAACAAAACAAAACAAAAAAAAAACAAAAAACAAAACAAAAAAAAAAACAAACAAACACCAGTCCTCCACAGATGGATGAGGGTAGCTTATACAGCCAAGGAGGCGATGAGTTCTTGGAATCTGACCAGCCAGGAAAAACTATGCACCAGCCAACGCTTTAACTTCCTTTCTCGATGAACAGTTGTCAGGTGTTTTAATGTAACCAGAGCATTCTCAGGCTAAGGCCCCGAGGAAGACCGTGTATTTTGTAGGATTCAGGATTGTGTCTGAGTGTAGAAAGCCGTCTCCTGGCTCACTTGCAACCACAGGTGGTGGTCCAGCTTTGGTAAATTGCGGTGTCATGGTGAAAGAACTCTGATCTTCTTCCAGGCCATCCTTTAGGGACTTGGAAACGGAAGGTAGTGCAGTTTTTTTCTGGCCGTCTGCCAGGCATGGGATCCCTGGCTTCTTGGGGTAAGTTCGGCTAGCAATCTTAAAGAACTCCTCGGCAGCATCCAGAGCAATGGGACAGTCCACAACCAAGAGATACCTCTCAGAGAGCTCCCAGCTGGCTGGGAAGATGGAGGTCTCTTCAGCCAGTTTCAACAGCATCTCTCGGGCTTTTCTTGTGTTTTTAGAATCACTCATGGTGCTGAGTTTGGTCACTGACAGCAAAGAGTCGGCTTCCCTTTGAAAACCCAAGTCTTCGAGGATTCGCCTCCATCTGTTTCTCACTTCCCTGCGAATCTGTCGCAGCGTGTAGATATCATAGTTGAGTCTCTGCCACTCCTCTGAGTCTTTAGTCTGCTGATTACGAATGACTATCAGATTATACAAGATCCTGTCATCGTCTGCCTCTGTGTGGGACACATCATGAGGCATACTCCATAAATTCTTTTCATCATCCCTCTCCAGAGTTGCTCCAAATGAGGAATACGGATTGTTACCACTGACCAGCGGCTCCTTCTCCGGCCGCGCGGGCTCCTCCAGGCACCGGCACGGGCAGCAGCAGCAGCAGCAGGCGCTCGGTAGCCAGCGGCGCAGCCCCATAGGGAGCGAAGACGGACACCGGGTTCCCAGAGCCAGGCGCGCGATGGCAGCTGGGGCGCGGAGACGGGGTGGCCGCGGCGTCACGGGCCGGGCCGTGCGCATCACGCCGCGGCCGAGGGACGCGAGCCGCACGTTTCTGCGGGAGCTTTTCCCTCTCTCTTTTAATTCCCCGGGTGCCGCCGGAGCGCATGCGTCCCCGTGTCGCCCCGCTGCTACCCTCTCCTACTTTTTTTTTTTTTTAATTTTATTTTATATGCATTGGTTGTTTTGACATGGTGTTGGGTTCCCTGCAACTGGTGGTACAGACAGTTGTGAGCTGCTGGGAAATGAACCCAGGTCCTCTGGAAGAACAACCAGTGCTCTTAACCACTGAGCCATCTCTCCAGCCCCCCAGGAGTGTACTCTTAACAGCATGTTTAGAAACGAGCTGACCCCTCTATGAACGAGTTCCAAGTCAGACTCCAACGCTACAAGCAAATGAAATGAAAATGAAAAACAAAAAGTTTATTCTGCAGCTAAATTTGAGTGATCATAGCTCGGGAACAAATATTCAGGTCTTCTCAAGTACAGTGTTCCAAGGTAGAAGCAGTTTTGTGGAGCTTTTACAGTAACAGAATAAAGAAAATTTAAAATCAAGGTATTCCAAAATATACTGGTGGAGACAATAGTCAGTCACAGGCAAAGAAGTCTCACCTACAGGCCCAGAGCTATCCGAACGCATTCTTAGCCTTTTGATTGGTGGAAAATAGCATTTTGTTAATCGTCTTTACCTGTTTTTCAGGATGTTAGGTCTGACACAAAGGTTGGGCAATAAGGACTCTTTAAGGGGCAAAAGATAACCTAAGAGAAATAGTATCCGCAACATTCTAAACTCTTTAAAGGCAAAAAAACATTTTGTTAGTTGACCAGGCTATGAAAGCAGCTTTCTTCTAGGAATTCTGGTTTACACCAGCTAATATCACACTTTTGTTTTGTCTTTCCATTTCCCAGGGATCCTGTCTAAATCCAAGACACAGGGTAGTGCGTATGGGAGCACCCAACGGTGTGAAGCATTTCCATAAATTTGTTTCTAATGCTTATTCTCAACTGTATCCGTTACATGAAAATAGGAAAACAATAAGAAACTGTCTCTGTCATGTTACAACAGAATAGAACCAAACTACTGATCCCTGCCTTGGGAAGCCTGCTTGCCCCTCGCTCCTCTGAGGAGGAAATACACATCTGTTCTCCTCCGGGAAACGACACCAGTATCCACTTAGACAAGTTCTGTTTGCTAAAGACAAAACGGTCCTAAGAGAAACCTGCAAATTTTCAAAGTACAAACTACAGTTTTTCCTTTATATCCAAGCGCTGAGAATCCCACCGCCTCAACAGCCTTAGGATCTGGAATTAACACCTTAAACTCAGAGGTCCCAAAAATCCTTAAAAAGCGTCCGATCTCCGCGCCCCCGGAAGTAGAGACCTGCAGCGGAAGGCTGCGGTTGGCCCCGCCCTCCAGCAGCTGCGTTCATTTCCGCCTCCTGTCGCTCTTCCGGTGCGGAGACCACACACCCCGACCCCTCCGGGACCCCATGGCTGCTCCCGGGCCGGTGGAGCTGGGCTTCGCCGAGGAGGCACCGGCCTGGAGGCTGCGCAGCGAGCAGTTCCCGAGCAAAGTGGGCGGGCGGCCCGCGTGGCTCGGCCTGGCGGGGCTGCCGGGGCCCGGGTCGCTGGCGTGCGCGCGCTGCGGCCGCCCGCTCGCCTTCCTGCTGCAGGTGTACGCGCCGCTGCCCGGCCGGGACGACGCCTTCCACCGCAGCCTCTTCCTCTTCTGCTGTCGCGAGCCGCCGTGCTGCGCCGGCCTGCGAGGTGAGCGGCCCGCCCGGGGGCAGGGCCGAGGCTGTGGGTGCCTCGGGTCAAACCTCGGAGTGGGACGAGCCGGTAGATGTGGGCGGTTGGAGTCGGGCAATAGATAACTAATTGTTAGGCACGAACTCCTCCCTGAAAGAAAAGACTCCACTTTTCCTCTTTATGCGGAAGTGAAGAAGAAGGTTCAAGTGTTTGGATTTTGTTTCACTGAAAACCTTTATACTTTCCATAACTCTTCGTTTCAGTTTTTCGTAATCAGCTACCGAGGAAAAATGTGTTTTACTCATACGAGCCACCTTCTGAGACGGGAGCTTCAGACAGTGGCGAATGTGCGTGCCTCCAGCTTAAGACAGGAGCCCATCTCTGTAGGGTTTGTGGCTGCCTGGGCCCTAAAGCCTGCTCTAGGTGCAAGCAGGCACATTACTGCAGTAAGGAGCATCAGACACTGGACTGGCGGCTGGGACACAAGCAGGCTTGTGTACAGTCAGGTAAGATATCCGTTTCCAGCAGTTTCGGTGCCTGAGTCAACCCAGATACTTTAGTTTCTGATTAAAGTTGAATACTTTAGAAAGTTTTAGAACTGGTAACATGAATACTTTAATAATGAAAGTGGTGTTGAAATCATATGGACATCTTGAGTATTGGCTTTTAGACTCCCTAGTCAAAAATAGAACCAGCTGCCGGGCGATGGTGGCGCACGCCTTTAATCCCAGCACTTGGGAGGCAGAGGCAGGCGGATCTCTGTGAGTTCGAGACCAGCCTGGTCTACAGAGCTAGTTCCAGGACAGGCTCCAAAGCCACAGAGAAACCCTGTCTCGAAAAACAAAAAAAAAAAAAAAAATTATATATAAACAGCTAAACACAGTAGTTAACAGTAGTCATGTAATGTCATTGTCTCCTGGTCGATGGCACATGCACCCCTGATAAGATAATGAATTCTTTTTGGGCTAGTCTCATGAAGTTGTGTATAATGTCCAGTACATTGGTAACAAGTGACTGTATTAACGGTTGGTATATTTATTGTACCATTTAATCTTACTTTAGCCTAATATGTATTTTAAAAATAATGAGCCAGTGGTGGTGACACCTGTCTGTAATCCTAGCTCAAGATGCCGGAGGAGTTTGAGGCCCATCTGCACTACACAGTGAGATCCTGACTCAGAACTGAGCTTGCTGTGTTATACAGGCAGCAGCTTTATACATTTAATGCCCAATACTTCACCGGATGCCTGGCATCCGGCTCCACAGTGATTGTCCTATGCCATAGTGACTGATGTTCAGACTGATGAAATGCTTTAGAAATGGGAAAATTTTAGATCATCTTAAACTAAATGTTTATTAATGATGCTAATAACTTTCTTGTAGATCCTTTAAACCAGACAATTCCAGATCACAACTTCCTGTTTCCAGAATTTGAAATTGTAACAGAAGCAGAAGATGAGATTATACCTGAGGCTGTAGAAATGGAAGATTATTCTGACGTCACAGAAAGCATGGGTAAGGATTTGGCATATAAGTTTTACAGTACTATGACCAAATACACTTTAGGAAAAACACTTCAGGGAGGAGAGCCTCCATGAGTACGTCAGTGGTAAAACAGATGATCATGGTGGGAGATTGTAGATGAAAACAGTAACTGCAGAATGTATGACAAGGGCCCTTTGTAACAGTCTTTTAATTCTACTTTTAGATCCATACTTTGTTACTGTCTCTAGAGTTCATGTGCTAGGGCTGTGTCGAGGCAGAAGTAGTGACCAACACACTTGTGATCATGAGTCCAGCTTTCACACTCTAAGGTCGCTCATGCGGAGGCACACTTGACTGAACACACTTGACCTGCGCTTCCAGGGTGGAAACCAAGTTCTGGGTATCATGTGTTTGAACAAAGAACTTAAGTTTTATAGTTTGATTCTAGATCTTGCTGACAGTAGGATTTCAATTTCTAAACCGGAAGGTCAGGCTTATAGAAACCAAATTAGGCTCTCAGTTATTGGTTCATGCTCGGAAACAGGAACACACAGTGGGAAGAAGGCACCCAGGAGTCAGGAACCCAAACAAGTGAATATCTTGTGACTGTTAGGAAGGTGAGATGCGGGGCTGGAGAGATGGCTCAGAGCTTAAGAACCTAGGAGTGGATGCACATGAACTACCCGATGTAAGTAGGATGTGTGAGTGAGCATTAGATAAGAAGCAATCATAAAAGTAAACAGTTGAATTATATATCTACATAATTCTACATGACTTCAAACCAGTGATTTGACAGATGTGTATCTAGTAAAATATATTTCAAGAGTAGGAAAAAAGCGATGGGCATGTTTTTCTTTGGAAGTAGGTCCTCATATAGGCCAGGCTGGCCTTGAACTCTGCCTCCTGATTGCAAATATAACAGGTGTTATACATTTTATATCTGACCGCTGTTATTTTATTAAGTAAAATGATATATTAGGTCTGAGGAAATAGTACAGATTTGCAGAAAGTAGGTCTGAATTTTTTTATTGGAAGATGATAGCAACTCATAAGTACTTTATAACAAAGATTTAAAAATCTTTAGATTTTTAAAAATTGTTAGATTGTGAAATTTTAGAAATTGTTAGATCATCTCATTTATAGTTGGTACTCCAGATCTATAAAATGATCTATTTAGAGAGATAGCTGATTCCAGAACTACTGAGGAAATAATGAAAGTAGTTATTATTGGAAATTGAAGAAGTTAATAGTTAAGAATTCAATTATCACACCTTTAATCCCAGCACTTTGGAGGCAGAAGCAGGTGGATCTCTGTGAGTTCAAGGACAGCAAAGGCTGTTATACAGAGAAACCCCATCTTAAACACACACACACACACCCCACCCCTCAGCTATAATCTCAGCTACTCAGTAGGCTTAAGATGAGATGATTTTAAGTCCAAGGCCTTCTAGGGCTACCAACTGGGGTCAAGGCAAGCCTGAACAAACTCATGAGGACCTAACCAGACGAATAAAACAGGATGGGGCTTTGGAACTCAGGGCATTTTGCCCAGCGTGTATCAGGCTCTAGATTCAATTCCTGATTCAGAAAAGCAGAAACTTCGTTAATCAATTATTATCTGTAAGTGACTGGGGGAATCTTGAAATTTGATTTGAAGCTGGCTCTTCATAACAGCTACAGCACTTCTACTTGTGCATGTTCAACATTCACAAGACAAACATTTTCAGAATGCTTCCCTAGCAAAGAATTAGTTTGGGCTGCAAGGAGAAAGAGATTGGGAGGGAGGGAAGGGACAGGGACACCTGTGGAGTAGCTTAAGGCTTTGCTTCTTCCCTTGAGAACACCAGTGTGAGGGAGTGT